ATTTCTCTGTTGTTCAGCTCTGAAATTATACTAAAACAATTATTCGCCTCAGATTCGGGGAATATTGTCGAATAATCCCCTCGACTTCGTCTTGGGGATTATTCGACGATATTCACCTCAGCTTCGGCGAATAATTGTTAAATATATATAATATTAAGTGACTAGAAGGAAACACACATGATTCGCTGCAACTCTGAGTTTCGTGCGTTAAGCACTCATCAGGCAGATTTAAATATATACGTGAGTGTGTGTGTGTGCGTCAGTGCGTGCGTGCTCATGCGTGTGCACGGGGGCCCATATCGTTCAAGTTTTTAGATTTGCAATCCTGAAATAACTTTTGATTGTTTTCGTAGACTGACAACATACATGAGTAGTCCAGGACGCCCATCCCAAAGCTGCAATTTAAACTTCGTGCGTCGCTTCAGGAATGAAAGAACTAGAATTATCACCAGCTGAAAAGAAAAACATAGAAAACAAAAACATTAGATGATCCTTTAAAATGAATTTTCCGGCTCATGAATCGAATATCACAATTGCTTCAGGATGAAGGAACTAAAATCATAACCAACTGCAAAGAAAAACATCGAAAAAAACATTAGATAATCCTCTAAAAGGAATCTTCTCTCATGAATTACACAAACGCCACCGATTGAGATGAAAATTTAATTCTCAGCACCGAATATTCCGCCCACTGCCGGAATGTTGCAGCGACACAAACACATCTTGCCAGGTTTTTATTATCATTATTATTACTATTATTCACTCCAAATCATTTAATTTTTTGCAACAACTGTTAGTTTTCTAACAGATTTAAATTATACCATCACTTGTTGTAATAAATACTGAAAATCCAAGCTTGCCTGTATAACCCTTGTGGTCCATCAAACCAACCATCCTCATTATCATAATCAATTCATAATCATTATGATTAATTAATCTAATCACAAATAAAAGCAAATATTTACGAACATTAGGAAATATAACAGAACACTCACTGCAGGAGCAAGGCATCCAAAATTAAATTGTCTCCACTGGTTGAGAGCCTTCACACAACTACAGTAAGAGAAAAAAAAAAATTTATTCGGTCATGCACCATTACGGTCCGTGTTATCTCAGGAATGCACCATAGAAAAGCCCTATCGAGTACGTTACATATGGGGCACGATGAGACGACAGTATTTTAGATAGGGCTCTGAAAAAGTTACTAATGAGAGGCTTTTAAAAGATTTGCTTAAATAGTAACGCCAGGGTTTGCTGTGCTATATAAATGTTTAGCTTTCCACAAGTATCTAGAATCGAATAATTAAACAGTTACCGACTGATTCGTTTTA